TTCTTTTCTTTTCCTTTCATCCCAACCACACACATGGCATATCACATGGCTCCAGAAAATTTGGAGCTTTCTAAAGAAGGTTGAAATTAAAAAAATATTCCTGACTCTAAACGTTAATAACTTATTCGTTATAACCCCATTTCATGAACGGTTTGCACCTTCCTCGAAAGGTCTACGGATTTTAGGAAATAAATTTCCAAATTTCAAACTTCGTAACTAGTTTAATTGAAAGGTAAATTCAAATAAATCAATATAATTTCTTGAAAAATAATATAAAATCTCAATAATACAAATACATAAATTATAATAATTTCCGGTAACCAAATTTTAAAATTCCTCAATTAAATTTTCATAACCATAAATCGATTTATTTTTGTTTTTTTCCACATATTCATAATTATGAATATTCTATTTCATATATTTAGATTTTCAGGGTATTACACTTGTGGTGCTCTTGGTTTGGGCGGTGGTGATCGGAAATTTGTACACCATGTGTGCATAGTGAGGAAGGGGGAAAGAGAGAGCAACGAGAGGGAGAGAGAAGAGAGAGTTACGAGAGAGAGAATTTTAAGTGGAGATGAGTGACACATGGCAAGAGAGTAAAGGAGAGTTTGTGTTGGTGTGGGCCCCACGGGCCAGAAAAATTATAACAAATTAAAATGTCCGGCCAAAAAATTTTAAAATAATAAAATACCCAAAATTCAAATTTCATAAAATACCCTAGAGTTTCATAGTTCCGTAAAATCTTCATCGTAGCTCCAAATTCGATTCCACTTGTGCTTACGCATTCGTACAGTCAAGTACTTTGAGAATAAGGTAAATTAATAGCTCATACATGTCATGAAAAGACTGGCAACGAAAGTCAACAATATCGCCTCTAGGGGCATTTTCGTTAATTCACTCTTTTAAAATTAATAAAATTGTAAAATTAGGAAGGGGTTGCTAAAAAGTAGGTGTAGCCTTTGGTGTAAAGATATTTTCTCTTTTTTTTCTATTCACTTTTAAATGAGAGGTTTTAGATTTGATTTTTGCCAAAGGCGAATTTAAACAACATTATTACTAATCCATTGTGGGACTAAGCATATCCCCCTCCCCTTTAAGTAGATAATATTGTTTGTTAAAAAAAAATTAAAAGAGCTCCTACAAACTTCTTTTTAACCAAAACATTCAATAATTTTTATTTAATGAAAATGACAAAAACTACACAATAACTCAAGTTTTATTAACATTAACAACAACAAAAACTAAAAACTGAAATTGTTCGGGTTTGGATTCAAAGCAAGGTTTCTTGTCTTTTAGGTTAAAAGGGTGACAAATGTGACTAAATTTAAGAAAATCCACCTTGTCAATTTCTTTTGAAATAATTCCAATTATGCCTTTGTTTTACACTTTTTTTTTTTTAATACAAACGGTATTTAACATTAATCTACACCAAAAGTAATGGAAAGAAAATACCCTAAACGGGGCAATCCACTAGCTTTATTTACATTTTATCAAAAGAAAGAGAACCAAGATAGCAAGAGTTTTTTTTTTAGTACAATAGCAAGAGTATTAATACAGAAAGAGAAACGACTAGCTCCACATTTGTCTGATTACTCTATGTTCATATGCTTGTGCGGAAACTGTCTTTCACATGTACTTGTCACATGCAGTAGTAGTTGTCTTCTCGCGCGTAAATAGCATATTGTACATCGATCTAGCTAGCTATGGAGAGAGGATTCTCGCCAGATTTTCTTTATGAGAATTCTGGAGATTTTTCAATCACATCCGTTCATTGTATATCGTATAGTCAGTTTTCGTCAGGTACTATTTATATTCAATTTTAAATAGAAGAATTTACAATAATTTCTGACCATACGATGTACGATGAATGGATATGATTTGAGAATTCTTAGGATCCTCACAAAGCGAATCCGACGAGAATCCTCACTCCTAGCTATGCACTAGAATATCAGTCACCTATGTCATATTATATATGAATCCAGATCCTCTTTATGAGGATCTTGGGGATCCGTGAATCGTGTCCGTTCATCGTACATCGTGTGATCAGAAATCATTTTAAATATTTTTATTTAAAATTAAATATAAACAGTACTTGACAAAAACTGACCGCATGATATATGATAAATGAACGCAATTCACGAATCCTTAAGATCCTGACCAAAAAGATCCGGAGAGGATCCTGTTGGGTCATATATAGCCAAAATCATTTATGCTACGTTTGGATGGAGTGTTTGAGTAGTAGCTTTGTTGCCATTGAGTATAGTTCATTGTAAATATCATATTCTAGTGTTTTATTTAACATTCCTCGTCCAAACATAGCCTTAGTCTCGGCGAAGCTCAAAAATGATTTCAATTAGGATGAGGTGGGAGTCATGAGTGTGCCTCAAGAATGTTAAACTTTTCAGATGTAGCTTGCCCATCTTTTACATCTCTCGTGTCGACAGAATTGCAGAAATCTAGTCAGTTGACCATGTTACTAATCACTCAACATCTAATGAATCAATATGAACGAAACCCTTTGAAAATTCTAGCCATAAGAAATACCTTACAAGATGGAAGCCAATGCCATTGAGACTACACAATCTTGTTAATTTGTTTGGACATGATCTCAAAATTTTTGTCCAACCCAAGTCCAAAAACTTCTACAAATTCACACAAAAATAGAAAGAAAGAAACAAAAAAAAAAAAATATATATATATATATATATTAACAATCGGGACATGAGAGGAAGTAAAATGTTCATTTTTTGGACTCCTGCGGGTCTTTCTCCTCAGCCTCCAGCTCCCACTGTTCAGTTATTGTTTCCAATTCAGGACAAGTTGAAGGCTTGTTGTGGGATATCAAAATTGCAGGTGCAACCTCCATCCAAAAACGCAACAATCTCATCTGCATCTCTGCCATTGTAGTTAGTGATCAAACAAAACGGCTTCTTAACTTCCTGCTCTCTGATCAGCTGCTTAATTCCAAGCTGAAAGTTACGGAAGTGGCTTTTTACTTGAGTGCTTCTGGAAAGAAATGCAGAGAAATGGGGTTTTGTTGCAGATTGTGGATTAGGGTTTTCTAGTAGTGTATTGAGTGAGGGCAGTGGGATTTTGCGATGAAGGGAATGAAGATGAATGAGGTTTTTTATAGGAGTTGAAAGTAAATACTCAATAATTATAAAATGTTGGTCAGAAAAACGAGTGAAGGAGATTACACCAGAAGTGCAAAAAAATGTCTCACAGTCTCACCCACTTATTACTGAAAGGCATGCTAGGAACATGGAAAATGTGGACAAAACAATTCTGATTTAACGTGTTTCTTGGCCCACAATCATAAATAAAAAATCTACCTTGGATCTTAGTGGCTAATGTACGTGTGCATTATTTGTACCAAAAATTCAATCATTTTTTAGATGATCTTCTACTTCTCACAAAAAATAATAATAATAATAAAAAGACAAACTTTACTACTAAAAAATTTACAATGCGAGAGATTTAGAAAAACAGACCGTATACTTTCATCACCTTCATCTACATTAACACTCCTCTGGTGCATTTAAAGTCATAGTTGAATATTGAAACCACGCCTCATGTTAATTATGTTTGTAAACGTAAACTTTCAACATCCACACCCAACCTCCTATTCACAACACCTGGCCTTCCCAAAAGTTTTTTTTTTTTTTTTTTCAAATGATAAATTTTGTTATATTAACCATAGACGGAATTTGAATCTATACCGTCATACAAGAACTCAATATATTTCCACCATTGTGATAAACATCTACTTACCCCTTCCCAACAAAATGTCCATTTTTTGGGTATCCTTAGATATCTTAATCTAAAGAATCAATAGACAATTACCCATTTGACAGTGGAGGGATACCCAATAATTATCACACTTACTTTTCAGAAAGAAGATTCCCACTATGAAATATGAAGGCCCCCTAAGGAACTTAGCAAGCAATCTTCTTGTTTCAAGCTTGCAAATTATCACTAATCCTGACAAGCTGCAGTTTACAGATGCGACATGTTAGGTGGTTATTTCGGGCACGACGCATTATATGACTTTAACAATGTATGAACATGGAACCAATGTGTATATGATTGACATGATTAACACTATTAAACTATTATTACATTAATAAAATAATTACTTTTCTCATTTTCTTATGTATAATATAAGTTATTGTGGTATTTTATGTTGGATATATGTCAATAATCTATGATAAAATTATATATGCTAATAAATAATAAATGCAAATAAGAAATTAACAGAGTGTGAACAATGAAATAATATTGAAGATTGAGGCTTGCACACCGTAATGTCCTTGAAACAGAAATTTCGTCCCTACTCAATGCTTGTAGTTCTACAAACGTCTGCTTCATCAGGATTCAACGATCAAATCAGAATTCTAGCATCGAAAAAATTGACTTCTAGCGAATTTTTATGTGGTTCTCTCAGTAATGATGTTTTGGATTATACAAGAAGAATTTTTTTTTTTTTCTGTATTCTAGATGCCATGCAAATGGATGTATATATAATATGATTATGCTTGTTCGCAACAGGTATGAGGAAGGGATGCATCTGTTGGAAGACATCTTCTCAGAGGGGTGTTTTCTTTCTGCGTTTTTTCACTCTTCAGACTTCATCTGGCGTTTTTTCACTCTTCAGACTTCATCTGAAAAGATGAGTATGTTGGTAAAAAACAATTAATTAATTAAATCCGAAAATAAATAAATAATTTAATTATTAGAGCCCGAGCCCCAAGGCCTATCTTTTGATTATTAATTATAAGCCCAACTTCAAGGGTGAGCCCAATTTTAGTCTACAAAGCCTATCACTCCAATCATTATCTATAAGGGACAAAGCCTTATAAAATGAGGAAATCTTTTGAGAATGACCAATATGGGACAAAGAAATTTCTACTCATAATTTCCAACATTTTATTCTTGTTTTTATATCGTTTTCGTATGGTGATCAAAATGTAGATTCATACGAACACAACACATATTAATGGAATCTGAACATAGATAGTTGTATTATTTTATTATTATTTTGCATCGTCTGAAACGTATAGTTCCATATGGTACTCTTAGTTTTAAATAAACTACGTTTATATACAACAAGGTTGAAACTAATTGCATATTTTCAACAGTAATACGGTGTTCACTGGACAATGTTCAAAGAAGAACTTCCACTGGATTGGATAGGACAGAATTGAAGCCCTCCGTTACCAGAGCCATTGAAGTTCCTTCCCTTTCCAATGGCCAGACCCCGGCTCCAATCACCAATTCCATCGTAACAATCCGGAGCTGCGATGAGATGCATCCAGAGGCCATCCATCTTCAAATTTGAGAACATAAGTTTTCATCAAGGATGAATAACCAAACAATGAAAAAAGTGAGCATAAAAGTTAACTAGTCATCATCACACTCCTCGACGCTCTCTTCAAGAATCGTCTCCAAACTAGGCGAATTCGAAATCTTTCGCGGGTAAATGACCGGTGCCGGAGCCACCTCAATCCATGCATTCAAGTTCCTCATTCGCTTAGCCATTGAAGCTTGAAATTTAAAAGTATTCTCTTCAATGAATTGTGATTGCAAAGAACTAACAGAAAAAGATGACTCTCTTCCTCCTTTATGTCAAGAAAGAAGAGAGAAAGAGCTAATTTACGTTAAATATATCAAACAGAAGGGTTTTTGTCAATAGGGAACTCAAGAAGTTGGGAAATTGGTATGAATGTTAAGGCGTTTATATAGTGGGAAATCTGCAGCATTTCTGGTGGTAATCCGCAGTTCAAGTGGGTAAAGTTGGAAAACGACTTGTAGCACAACCTCAAAAACATGAGGTCAAAAGTCTAATTAAGGCATTGTAACGGACACAAAACTTGCCGGGTTTTTTTGGCAAACGACTTAAAACCTGGGAATAGAAGATACGTGCAAGGAAAATAAGGAGAACCAACCAACAAACTCCCACTGTCTCACCGGATTTTGTCCTTCACTTTCTCATTTCTGTGGTAACAAACCACTGACCTGCGATCGCATGCGTTACACAAGAAACTTCGACCATTCACATGGTCTCCTTTAAGACTTACCTCTTTTCCAAATGAACCTAACCTCGATAGCACATTCATCAAAGCAAGGACGGATCCACATAGGGACCTGGGAGGTCCCAAGACCCGTCGGCGATCCTAAATCACTGCTAGAAATTTTCTAGGGGACCCCTCGTACTCGAGCATGAGGTCTGTGCAGGTTGCAGGTTGCAGTGGCTGTCTTCTTCTTGAAGAAGATGACCATGCACGGAGAAGAAAGAAAATAAGGACCCTTCCAGCCTCTCTCCTCCTTGCTTTTGCCATGGTCTCATCCATCGGTGCCACCCACTTCTCCTCCAACCTTTCTCTGTCGTCTGGCAGGACAGTACATAAGCCTAAATTTCCCCAAATTATTTCAACAACCTTAGTAATTTTTCTTATGGGTGAAATTTCCTACATAAGGTTAGTAAGATGGATATGATCTGTCATGGGTTGGTGAAATTTGGGGGTGGAGCTGCCATGGCTTCGGGAGAATGGGGAGGGAGGCGGTTGGTGGAGGTATGACAGCTGTGTTCTTAGTGAGAGAGAAGGTGGATGTTTGGAAACTAGTAAAAGAGAAAAATGGTGTGTTTGGTTAGAAAGATAGTGGGAGTTTGGGAAGAGTTTTATTTGACCGGTGTTTTAAATTTAGTGGTCCATATTAGATAATCAGTAACTTTGGTACTCCTGTAGTAACTTATGAAACCTCGTAATGGACGCTTTGAATTATGATTTTATGATTTGTAATATTGTTTTGAATATGATTTTTGACCTTTATTATTGAGACCCCCGAATTTAAAATCCTGGATCCGCCACTGCATCAAAGAGATATGACAATCTCTCTAGCTTGCACACCCTCTTCACCATTGTTTTATTTGTGCTTGAAAAACTACTTTATCAGCCCGCTCCTTTTAATGGAGATTCTTAGCGGCCATAGATCAGATCGTGAACTCTTTCAGACCCTTAGTTTTGCTTGGTCGGGGCAAAGTTTCAGCCTGCTTTCCACTGAATATAAAAAAACCTTACAGCTACCTAACAGGCTAACATCCCGGCGAAGAGAGTCGTTATTTGTGTCACATCTTCGAATTCAAGAGAAGGCTTTCCTCTTATCTCTCAAATTATAAGCATTGAAAAAACTATTGCACACACCCCTCATTCGCCTTAATAGAAGGTAATGCAAAAGCAGCTTAAGCCTTTCTGATCCCCCGAGAAGCCCCCGATGAACTTTTATACTTTTCTATTATATAACAGAAAATTAAAAGTATGACAAATCTAAGGAAGAATATCGTAGTTACTGCACCTTGCGTGGCGTCTCCCAGTCCACCACGGCTTGCACGCACCTTCTCTTGCCGTCGCCAATCCAGTGACCAAGGAACTAGACCTTATGCAAAGCACCTTTTTCACATAGAGCGGATTTTCCCTTATGATCTGGAATTGGTCATAGTCTGCCAAGAGGGCAACAAAGCGCCTAAGGATTTTCTGCCATAGTCCTTCATTAAGTTACATAGTTGTTTTAACACCTTTAGGCACTCCCGTGAAACAAGTTCCCCCTCAAGGGGAGTTCTTATTCTTTCATAAGAAAAGCCCCTTTATTAGTAAGGCGGTCCAGTAAAATTTAGTACCTTAACTCCCCAAAGGTAAGAACGGGCATGCTAGAAGAGGGGTTAGTGATAAAAGTTTCCCAAAATATTAGGTAAATAAGCAACTCATGTTGAAGTCTTAGGTCTAGCACGTTGCATCCTTGAGCCCTCCGATCACTTGGTCAATACCAATCCTAAGACCAAATAGTATCTCAAAAGAGTACATGCTGTGAAGATGCAAACTACCTACACCTGGACAGAGATACCCTATGAAGCTTCACTGTTCCCTTGGATTGGCTTTGGGCCTTTCCTAGCGCAGCTTTAGGTGGAATGTGACCCTCTTTCGAGAGGCCCCAACCATCAATGAGATGCCACTCTGAATGAGCTCTAATTAACCTTGTGTCAAAACCTACGAGCCTCAAGTAAACAGTTTCTATGGGGCGTAGGCCTGCCAAAAGGTAACAGAGGCATGTTTCCTCAAGCCAGATAGAGATTGGCCTTCAAGTGCAAAGCCAGAAGGGAGCTTGAGTGCAAGACGGGCATGTCGAGCAAGGACAAAAGTTGTCCTTAGTGATCCGACAGTGCCAAGTGAAAGAACCGTAGCTCAACAGATAAAAGTTACTTTAAGGATAACACGGTGATCTTCCCTAAGAGCTCACATCAATCAGACCAAAGAACTACTGATATCTAAAAATATCATTTCTTGGAATGTCATTAAATATATATCTTCTATATCGTAAACTATCAGATCGAGTGTTACTTAGATGTGAAACTTGCAGACCTATCGGGCAATATCTAAATTGAGAGAAACTTACCGACACTAAAAATACTATTGGCAGTAACGCAAGCTAATATTGTCCTTCCATGTGTTTTAACCATCATACATTACATAGCCTGGTATCACAACAGGTATCACAACATGATGGCTTCCCATGGCGTGGAACTTCTCCACACCAGGAGAAAAAATTGCATATGGAAGACTACCATGGAGAAAAAATTCCCGTTTCTTATTATACCCTTCGGTTGACATGATCACTCAAACCACAAGACAGACTAGTGACCAATGTTATGAGAACTAAAACATCAGCAACAAGATCACTGATAGGATCTTAATGACTTCCCATGGCGTGTAATCCCAACTTCATGATGAACAAATGCAATTAACAGAACATATACATTTGAAATTCGCATGAGGGGAAAACAAGCACAATTGCTACAACTCAAACTTGTAAGCAAAACGTGAAAATATTCTTGGAATCAAATATTGCATAAACCATCTTTCAAACTAGATTTCACTATAATTCCCACTACAAACCCCATCAAGTCAACTGTTTACACTGAAACCATCAAATTTAACATCGAAATGCTAAATCATCCGAGCGTGATGTTAAAGAGATCATATAACACAAACCCTGCAATATTCATCCACTCATCACTCAACAAAAAGCAAAAATCAATCACCACACAATCATTCATGAGCACAAAGAAAATGCATTTCAACATTAAGCAACAAAATCAGGTTCATAAATTAACACTAAGGCATTACAGCTCCGAATTCGACCAACGATTTCAATGCTCTATAGAAATTCATAACTGGGAAACCAATTTAGAATTAAAACCCAAAAATATGAAATTTTTATAGAACCCAAAAACTGACTAACATTATATAAAACCAAAAACATAGCTCATCAGTCCAAGGGAATTTCGACATCACCGTCGGCAATCTCCTGCTGAAGATCCTTCGGGTCCTTGCCATCTACGGTGCACCCTACCGAAACGCAAGTGCCCAGAATCTCCTTCACGGTCCCGGCCAACTCCTTCGCCATGGACCTGTTCCTCATCACCTTAGCAATCTCGATCACGTCGTCCAACGAAATGTTCCCACTGTGCTTGATGTTCTTAGTCTTCTTCCTGTCGCGCTCCGGCTCCTTCAACGCCTTGATGACAAGCGCTGCGGCGGAGGGGACGACGGAGACCTTGGCCTGACGATTCTGCACGGTGAGCTTGACGGTGACTCTCAGGCCCTTCCAGTCCTTGGCAGTCTCCTTAGCGATGTCTTCTCCGATCTTTTTGGGGGAGAGACCCAAAGGACCTATCTTGGGAGCGAGCGAACTGGCGGCGCCGACCTCGCCTCCGGTGACTCGGACGTAGACATCGACGACCTGAGAGGGGTCGAATTTGGGAGGCATGGCTTCTTCGGCGGCGCTTTGGGTTTGGGGGCGTTAGGGTTTTGGAGGGAGGAGGCAGAGTGAGAGTGAAGCGTGTGGCTTTTGAAGAGAGGTTCATATACAGCTAGGGTTTTGTGTGGATTTTGGGGGAGCTGCAATCGGAATGACGGAATTGTCCTTGGGCTTTGTCGGGGTTATTCTGTTGGGCTTTTTAAACATTTTGAGACCCGTGATCCAGTCATTAAGACGTTGGTCGAAGAAGCCCGTTATCCACGGGGCACCGATTTGTCCGACTTTAGCCCAGTAGGTCAGAGACGGCATTCGTAAAACAATTGAAGGAAAAGTTGAACGGAAAGTGAGAGGGGCAGTGAAAAGAAGGTCAAGCGTTCGAACATGGTGAATTGATTCCGAGGGTCCGCACACTAGGGACCCGGAGAGGATCCTGGTATGGATGGCAGCCCTGGCAGGTGTGAGAGTGGTGGCTAGAGATTAGGGATCTTCCATAAAGGCGGTTACTGGTCACTTATTATTAATTTAAGATTTTAACTGTCTGTCTCTTTTTTTTAACCAGGACTAAAAAGACAGAAAAAGACATTGAATCTAGCTGTAAAAAAAATTCGCATGGAAAAAATTGAATGGAAGTATCATCAGTTGATGTGATAATCAGTGGTGGATCCAGGATTTAGTATGGGATGGTTCTAACTTTAAAGCTCCAAAAAAATAGACCAAAATAATATTGAAAAAAAATTAAAAACGACAAAGTCACTATCTGTCTATCAAAATAAAATAAATATTTTTGTTGTCTTGAAGTATAACTACACAACGTGTAACTCTTGTCGTGAATGCGAGACTATCAAAACTCTTGCCATTAATACAAAGACAAACACTGTGTTTGATCACTTGAGTGACAAGTCCTCACAACATGCACTAATAAATAAACTAGGCACCCCAAGAAAAACTTGCATAACTAAACTCTAATTAGGGTTTTGGGATCGAAGAGAAGAATGGAAGACGTATGCAAACTAGAGGCTAAACCCAAATGCCAACAAAGATTATAGGCCCACTGAGTAGCAATCAGCAATAAGCATAGAGGAAGAGGGTAAGTTTAAAGTTTTTTACTGGTTGGAAGAGTTGAGGAATCCCAAAGGAAAAACGAAATGATTACTTGAATGAGATTAGGACTCCCTTGATATTATCTTTTGTTGAAAATACTAGTAGGGTTAATGAATGTCCACAGTGATATTGAAAACATTGGTAGGTTTTTCAATAACCACATAGTAATGTGGACTTTGGAAATGAAGGAGATCGTATTTTTCAAAAGTTGTGTGTTGGAGTTGCTCTATAAATAGAGCACTCCGTGTACTATCAAAATACAAAGTAAGAAAGGAAAGATCAATAACATCATTATCTATTCCTACCTCCTTTATTTGTCATCCTCTTGTGCTATAGTTACAGTGTAATATTTTACACCTGCTTCGCTCTTGTCATTACTAAATGTTATTTCTCTAACTTTGACCTATTTATAATACGTTATCAGCACGACTCTCTAAATATAATCATTTCTCATTTCTCTTCGCCGAAAGAAATCATTCATTTTCACTGAACGAAAAAAAAAAAATGTTTCATCTAAGGATTTTACTGTTCATCTTCTTCCTCTGCCTGAACTGCTGGATATACCCTCGTGAAGAACTGTTTGCACCATGCCTGCTTTTAGTTCTCAACCTAACAGTTACATATATCTTTGATTTCTTGTTTGGTGTAGATATTGATTACTAACCCAGTGTTTATTTATGTTAATTTTACTGCAATCCAAGATGGTGTGGTACAATCGCCCATATTGAATTGCAAATTTAATCTTACTGCAATCCAAGATGGTGCGATATCATGGCCTATCTTGGACTGCAGATCTAATTTTACTGCAAATTTTAGATGGAGCAGTAAAATCGCCCATCCTACCATGCGTATTTAAATTTGCATGCTGTTTAATTTCATTGCAATTTTAGGTGGTGCGGTATAATCGCCCACCCTACTCAGCGTATTTCAATTTTCTTGCGACTAGAGTGGTGCGGAATAATCGCTCATCCTATGTTATGAGAATGGTGCGGTACAATCACCCTCATCATTAATCATGTAAATCTCAAGCTAGAAGTTTCGAGTGCTTATCATTTTAGCCTGAAGATCAAAATGAAGAATTTGTAAGAACCAGAAGTTCTAACACATCTCAGTTTTCTTTCTGAAAAGAAAATGGCAAACTTGGCAAAGCTTGATGTTGTTGCCCTGGATATTACTGGGAAAAACTACCTTACCTGGGTAGTGGATGTCAAGATCCATCTCGAGGCAGGGAATCTTGCAGAAACAAACAAGGAGGAGAACAGTGCATCTTCTCAAGATCTGGCGAAGGCCATGATCTTTATCTGTTGCCACCTTGATGAAGAACAAAAAAGTAAGAACCTAACGGTTGAAGATCCGTTAGCTCTCTGGAAGGCATTAAGAAACAGATACAATCACCAGAAAACGGTGATTCTTCCAAAAGCTCATTATGAGTGGACTCACCTAAAGATCTAGGAGTCAGTGGCTAAGTGCAATTTTGCAATGTTCAGAATTAGTTCCTAGATGAAACTCTGTGGGGAAATCATCACTGAGGAAGATATGCTGAAAAAGACTTTCATCACCTTTCATGCATCCAACGTGTTCATGCTGCAGTAGTATAGAGCGCGAGGTTTCACTGAATATAACCAGCTGATCTCTGTGCTCCTGGTTGCTGAACAAAATAATGAGCTCCTGCTAAAAAATCATCATTCTCGACCTACTGGATCTGCACCATTCTCATAAGTGAATGTTGCTTCCCTCGAAGTGAACGCCACATCCTCTGGTGGCAATAATCATAAACAAGGATGTGGTCACAGGCGAGGATGGTGGAACGGGAAAGGTAAGAATCATGGTGTCCAGTTTCACAACTAGGTTCCAAGGCATAATTTAGGCCCAAGTTTCAAAAATGTAAATCGCCACAAAGGCAAAGCTAATATGAACAATGCTCCCAAAAACTCTGAAGGAGTATGCCATAGGTGTGGTGGTAATGGGCACTGGGCGCGTACTTGTCATACCCCAAAACATTTGGTGGATCTGTATCAAGCCTCCCTCAAGTAGAAGGGTGTCGAGATCACTTTTCTTGAACAGGCTAAACCAACGGATATACCTGATCCAGTGTGTGACTTATCAGGGCAGTTGAACACAACTCACCTGGATGTCTTGGACTTCATTGCGGAAAAAGAGAATGAAGTATACCGATCCAACTAAATCGTTTATGTTTGATGTACTGAATTGTAGTTCAAAACTAGCATTTCAAATTTAATAAAAGTGACATTTAAATTTCCTGTTATAACTTGCTTTTAACTGTGATTCCCTTACTCAAATAGCATGGATAAAAACTATGGTCATTCTCAAAACATGAGAAATAGCGGAGATATTTGTCTTGCAGACAGCATAACCACGCATACAATACTTTGAGATCGAAAATATTTCTCAAGATTGATGCTTACAAAAGTAAGGGTAACAACAATATCAGGGCAATCAGATGTGATTGAAGGCTTAGGGAAAGCCCAGATTATGTTACCAAATGGAACAATATTGTCCATACAAAATGCGTTGTATGCTACTCGACCTACTCGAAATTTGTTGAGTTTTAGAGACATACATTTAAATGGATACCACATTGAAACAAAAAGTGCAGAAAATGTAGAGTATCTGTGCATTATCTCCAATGATATCAGAAACATATATTGGAGAAGTTGCCTGGTTTGACGAGTGGATTGTATTATACATACATAAAGATAGTTGAATCACATACTATCATGAACCAGAAGTTCATTAATTCAAAAGTTTACATGTTTTGGCATGACCGTCTGGGTCACCCAGGATCTACCATGATAGGTAGGATCATTACCAACTCTAATGGAAATCCATTATTGAACATACACATTTTTATCTCAAATGATAACTCTTTCAAGGCTTGTTTTCAAGGGAAGTTGGTAATTAGACCATCACAACTAAAGGTTGATACTGAATCCCCATCATTTCAGCAAAGAATTTAAGGGGATATTTATGGTCCTATTCAACCATCCTGTGGACCATTCCGATATTTTATGGTTTTTGTTGATGCATCTACCCAATGGTCACATGTTTGTCTCTTGTCTACTCAGAATATAGCTTTTGCGAGACTTCTTGCTCAGATAATTAAGTTGCAAGCACAGTTCCCAAATTACCCCATTAAGTCAATCTGACTTGATAACGCTAGGTGAATTTACATCTCAAATTTTTATGATTACTGCATGACATTGGGCACTGATGTTGAACACCTCGTGCCTCATGTCCATACTTAAAATGGTTTAGCAAAAGCATCGATCTAGTGGCTTCATTTAATAGCCCACACTCTGCTCATGAAAACAAAATTGCTAGTATCTGCATAGGGACATGTCATCTTACATGCTGCATCATTGGTTCGATTAAGACCTATAACCAAGCACTAATATTCTTCAGTACAACTTGTGTTTGGACATCAGCCAAACATTTCACATTTACGAGTTTTTGGTTATGCTGTTTATGTACCTATTGCACCACCACAGCGCACTAAAATGGGACCTCAGCGCGGACTGAGAATTTACATGGGTTTTGATTCACCATTTATCATTAGATATTTGGAACCCTTGACACGTGATATGTTTACAACTCATTTTGCTAATTGTCACTTTAATGAGATAGTTTTCCCGTCATTAAGGGGAGAAAATACCGTTCTAGAAGAACGGAAAGAGCTGACATGGGTTGTTCTCACCTTATTTCATTTTGATCCACGTAGCACTCAATGTGAAAATAAAGTGAAAATGATTGTTCATCTTCAAAGTATTGTCAATTAAATGCCAGATGCATTTAATGATGTTATGAAAGTGACAAAATCACATATACTATCTGCAAATGCACCTGCAAGAATTAATGTCCCTGGTCGACAAAATAAAGTGGCAGCGAATGATTCATCTAGTGCACGCTAGAAGCGTGGTAGACCTCTAGGTTCAAAAGATTCAGCCCTCAATAGAGAAAGTCGAGGGCACAACTAA